AGATGGGAACAAACCTCATTTTCTGGGTAGCAGAAAGGTAGGGGTGAGCATCTGCTTTTGCTGAAAGATGTAGGTAATATTGTATAACTTATTGATGATTGCACAATTGTTGTGAAGGTAGAGCATGCACAACTTTTTCCATTAACATGTTGTATTTTATGGACTGAAGATTTTGGCAGGAGCTGGTTCTGCTACAACCCAACGTTTACCTTTTGTCCAGGTTAAAAGAATATTGGGGTAGGTTATCACTGAATATTGAAGATTGTTCTCTGAAGTTAATGGTTATGGAGGTGTATTGCAAAATTACTTCTAATTAAAAAATAGAGAATTTATCAGAAGAGTTCATATTTAAAACATACAGGACTCAAGCTGTGGCCAATTACAAACAGTGATCTGCTTTGCAGACAAAGTAGCAGAGCAGTTAATAAAAGGCTCAAAAATTGAAGATTGGAAAAATAATTTCTTTAATATCTTTGTCATTTCACAAGTATGCGCCTGAAGGAGCTGGCTGTTATGGCTCCTTGCTACAGGAATCTTCCTAATCTTTTTTATTTAATCATTTTTATTCTAGCTACAGTCTCAGTCATGTTAAAATTACTGTCCTGCAAGCAGTGCTGATGTTACAGGATGAAATAAAAGGGCTGTGTTTGCCCATTTAAGGTCATGTGTGTTTTAACACAGTGTTTTGAGCAAACACTCAAAAAGCCCATATATAACTGCAAGTGCTTATATATTATTTATAAATAACATAAACCATATTACAAGTAATTCTGTCCTATTCCAACTTGAGAGAGGGGGCATTAAAAAGCCTAAATATTTGTGGAGTGGCATTTTTTACCATGGAAGTTTGGTCCTGTATCTCCTTGAGGAACTTCTGCTGATATTCCTGCTCCAGCAGTCAGAAGTGAGTGAGAGTGGCTGAAGTTTATGGCAGTGGGGCTGCAGGAGCCCCCAGAGTGGACTCAGCCATGACAAGATGAGTGCACTCAGACCTGTGGAACTTGTTTTGCACAAGGCATGGATTAATTTGTACTCTATCAGCATAAACCACTGCTTTGCTGTTGCAACTTTGCCCACTCCAGGAGGGTGCTGCTGGTGTGGGGTGACACCTGGAAGAGCCCAGTCCTGGTTTGAAGAGATGACTCTGCTGGCACATCCATCCTGTACAGGTACAGGAGCAAACACATTGTACAGAATAAATCCTGCTATTTATTCCAGCAGGATTGGTATAATGAGAATGAGGGGGTGGAAACCCAAGCCAGAAAATTCAAATATGAAATGAGATACACATGTTCAACTGTGAGGCTGATATGCTTTAGCCAAACACAACTTAGTGAGCTTAGTACAGGGGGAACTCGGTGAAATGTAATGGTCTGTGATATGCAGAGGGTCAGGTTCTATGATCTAATCATTTCTTCTGGCTGAAATCTCTTCATAAAAAAATCTAGTTCAAGCATAACTTGCAGCCTAAAGAGAGGAATTGCTGCCTGGAATTCAATGACTAGTGCTTGTACAAGGCAGTTAGAAGTGCCCCTTCTGGCTTTATAGTCTATGGAAGGATTAATGTGTTAAAGTAGCTTAAGGGTGCAACACATGCTGGCAGAAGCTGAAGCAGAAAGAAGCTCCTGGTGCAGTGCTCAAGGCAGTGCAGCCTATGGCCATCCCAGCTGGGGCAGTGACACTGCCAGGGATCCCCTGTCCTGCTCTGAGGGCATGGGCTGCCCCTCAGCCCCTGGGCTGGTGGCTCTGAGCAGGCAGAGCACATCAGAGGCCATGGAATTGTTAAGGTTGGGAAGCCCCATCCAAATCATCCCGTCCCCATCAGTCAGTAGCAGCACCTCCATGTTCACCATTAAACCATGTCCTCAACTGCCACATCCACACAATTTTTGAACCAGGGATGGTGACTCCACCACTGCCCTGGGCAGCCTGTGCCAGTGTTTTAAAAGTCTTTCTGTTGTTTCTTTTCCCTCATGTCCAATCTAAACCTCTCCTGGCACAACTTGAGGCTGTTCCTCTTGCCCTGTCGTTTGTTGCCTTCCAGTCTGTACGCACTGATCCTACTCTGCACCATGAGCCAAATCAAGTGGGGAGGAGGAGGAGGAGGAGATGCATTTCCAGAGGAAGCTCTTGGTCCTTCAGAGGACACTGACATGGGCTAATTCCAGAGCAGCATTCCCTTTAAACACCATGGCCATGTGTTAGGTCTTTTGCTACGTGTCCAGCAGGACAGGAGAGCACTGTGCTCTTCCTTCCCTAGAAATCTTCTTAGAATACAAAACCTTCTTTGAGACTTTGCTGCAGAGTCACCCTCAGCACGTGGCTGTTGGATGATGCACATGAACTCCCTGAGGCTGGAGATGGTTTTTTCACAGTGACATGGAAAATCCAGCAGCTGCTTGCTGCACTTGTCCCACAGGCAGAACAGAAAGGCTCCCACAGAAAGGCTCATGGAGCCTTTCAGAGAACAGTTGTGACCTGTAGCAGGGAGATAACGTTAGCTGCACATTTCCTTGTGTCAGAGGTCTTGTAAAGGTGGGATGTGTACCAAAAATGGGTTCCTTGTTTTGAACTAACACAGTCCTGTGTCACTCAGCCCATAAATCTGTCCAGTGGCAGCTCTGCACTGGGCTGCTCCAAGGAAGGCAAAGGGGCAAGGTCCCAAGAAGAGCTCCAGATGTTACTGATTTTTTCCTTGTTATTAGCAATTACTCACTTGGAATTCTCTAGCAGTTATTCTTCTTACTAACAAACTGTGGAAGAGTCAGCAGAATCACAACCAACCAGATCCTGAAGCTTGCCAGTGGCAAGAACTTGTACAAGCTTTGAAGGAGGAAGCACTTCCAGCAAACACTGCTTTGGAATTGCTCATTTTTCTTGATTTATAAAGAAGGATTTTTTTTCCCTTCAGTGTTTGTACTTGACTGATGCCAGTTGTATTCTTCAGAAACTGCAATATTTCTTTAAATATCATTTCATTGCATAAGATACAGCTCCATCCCCAAACTCAGATTTTTTATCTGAAACTGTCTTTTAAGATGTATTTATTGCCATGTTTGTTTAACTTGCTTATCTCCTTCATCAGTCTGTTTCTTGCTAACCTAAAGCTGCTGCTCTTTGGTTTTAGTAGGGAAAGCTGCTTCCCCAGGGATGTATAGTCCAGGACTTGTCTCTGTAATGGGACTATTTGTTTTCTTTGCCCCTTGCAGTTGCCTGCTGTAACATTTGTAGTATGTGTTAAGTAATCCTTGAGGTAACATTTTTATTATGTCATAAAAAGTGCGTGGCAAATATATAATAACTCATGGAATTTGTTTGTTTAAAATGGAAGGATAATTTATTGAGTGTGTTACATGAGACCTGCTCCCCCTTATTAGAGCTGTAGAAGTGCAGCTTATTTAGAAGTATGTTCTATTGAGAAAAACCACGATCTCTGACATGCATAGAAGGTTTGACCATGGTTGGGTAGAAATGACATCATAGTTTATGTACTCAATAAAAATTTAATTAAGTCATTACAGAAGTTGCAGTCATCATTTAACCCTCTGATTTCTTATGTTTAGTTCTTTTTTTAAACATTCAGTAATAACCAGTCTCCAAATCTTGATAGCCTATAAAATATCTGCATGAATTTTAATAGTTTATATTAATGGAAAAATATGAGTAACTGACATAAAAGGAATTTTCCTTGTGTTTGCACTATGTGCATTGCTATAAAAATCAACAGATGAAAAAAGACAGTGGTTTAAGGGAAGAGTATATGAACTGGAAATTTGTTCACTTGACAGAAACTAACTCATATTTTGTTAGAAAAGCTGTTGTGTAATTGCCAAGGTGAATACTCATAAGGATACTGAGAGAGGATTCAGGACAAGGGGTTCCCAGTGTGGTGGATGTGCTGGGCTGGTTGTGAATCCTGTCTCTGCAGAGTGCAGTGTCACACCTGAGTGTCCTGCTGGTGTGCAGGGCTTATTGGCCTTGTCTTTTGTACTTCTGGAGCATGTGAGAGCTGTAGAAAAGAAATGCCTTGTGTCTCTTGGATCCCTCATGGGAGTCAGTACAAAGAAGAAACTTTACCAAAGTGTAGCTGGGCCCTTGGGGGAGGAACTGCATCACTTTGTTGGCAGAGGTAAAGAGCAGAGGCAAGAGGGACAGGCAGTGTGGGTGAGGGAGATGCACAGGAGGCATTTCAGCCATCCCTCTGCACCCAGCAGTTGGTCCAGTCCCATTTTAAGCTGACATGGGGTCAGTTCTCACACCAATGGGTGGCTTAGGCCAACCCAGCAAATACTGAAGCAATTACTAAATTTAGTTAAAGGTCAGCATGGAACTTGGACTGAGTCACACTTAGAGCATGGGAGAAGTTGCTGTGTCATCACAGACTCTGAAAGAAGTTTAATCATAGTCCAGAAGTTGGGAGTCTGAGCTGCTAGAGATGCTGGAGAGGCAGAATTCATGTTCTTGCTGGCTGAGAGTCAGTGTGGACAGCACAGGAGGAGCAGTGGCAGGGTGGTGTCTCTGTCTTTAGCATTCCTGTACTTCCACTGTAGTAGCACATCCATCCCTGCAGTCTGTGCTTTGGGGACAAAAAAACCATTGAAAAACAAAGGGTTTCTATGGATGGATGAAGGTGTGGAGTAGCTGCTCAGTAGCTGACTACAGAGGGGTCCCCATGCTCTTGGGCTGTGCTGCCACTGCAAGGGCAGCCTTGCCTCACTCTCCCCCAGCAGCATTTTCTCTCCCCTCCTGCAGCTGGAGGCAGAGCTGTGGGCTGGGATGCTCCTGCCAGTTGTGAGCTCACACCAACCTCAGGTGTGTCAGAACTGATGGAGCTGTGTCCCAAGGGGTTCCAGAGGGACTCACTCCTGCTTGCAGCCAAATCTCACTCAGGTGGGCTGGGGCACTGGTGGCTCTTTGTCCACTCACAGTGAAACTGGGAATATTTTCTCCTCACCTCTTCCTTAAAGCCTCTGCTGATGGTTTTCTGGTTTGTTTTTCAGATTAATTCTACTGTTCTAAAAGAAGACTTGAAAAGGATGGCAGAAAATTTCTATGCAGCTCTGTTTGGATACGATGAGGTAAGAAGGCTGTTTTCAGGGAATGTACAACAAGTAAACCATCTAATTCCTGAACACAGAATAGTCCAGGTGGGGAAGACATCACTGTCCATTTCTTTGGAGAAATATTATGTTAGGGAAGCAGCCTTGGATGAAAATTCTTAGAAGAAAACTGCACAGGGCATATGAATTTAAACCATGGGTGTGGAAGGTAGGGTGTTCTTTCTGCTGCTTCACCATCCCTTACTGGCCACCCCTAAGTCATTTCCTCCCTCTGAATCCTGCTGTACTCAGCCATACTTTGAAAGCAAAGAGAGGATTTATAGAGTATTTATAGGGAGTCTGTGCAAGAATATTTACAGGCAGTACCTAATAAGGCAGGGAGGCAAAAGCACCTCTGCACAAGTGTCTGCAGGACCTTCAAGAGGAAAATACAATTACATTGGGGTTTTTTGCTCTTGTGAGTGTTGCTCTTCAGATGCTCTTATTAATATCACGATACTGATTTTTGCTCAGTGATTTGTGTTATTATTATATTATAAATGTAACCTCATAGAGTTGTGGGCAGTGTTACACATGCAAGGTTTAATCTAGTTATAAGTATAACCAGGATGTGTCTGCTTGTGCTTTGTTGACATTCTTTTTGGGAACAAAATGTTTGCTTTGATTAAAGACAAATGTTGACTTTTTAAATTTTTTAACTGAATATTTTAAAGTCTTTTGCCTTTGGTAAATGTGTCAGCAGAAGACAGGAGTTATGAGCTTGTGGTGACAGCACTACATAACCTAAAAAGACAATAAAAGTTCAAGAGAATTTGGACAAAAAACATTAATGGATGTGGTTCTTTTATAAACCAAAGCTAAAATTTGATTTAACTGGAAAAATCTAGATAGTTCTTGATGAGCAGGATTTCTCTCTCATTTAGAATGAAAAATAAAAAGCAAAGAGAAACAGCAAACTCCAGACTACAGTTCTGCAACATTGGATTAATTATCCTTTAATTTTTCTTTTTAAAGTGTCATAGGCTTCACACATTCCCATGAGGTGGTGCTGCCTTCTCTGTAAGATCACCATTTTTATGGTAAAGATTTCATAACATAGAAATGCAGTTATCAACTCTGACGTTAGGAATACCCTGACCCAGGTTTTTTCCAAATTAACTTGCCAGAAAATTGGTTACAGGCTGCTCTGTAGATTAATTTAAGGCCAGGGCTGTTTTTCCATTCTGGGAAAGAGTGATGTTGCTGCCTTTCCATGTGCAGAGCCCACGGCAGCTGCGGCTCTGGGACAGGTGCTGTGGCCAGGGGCCAAGTGCACCAGTTGGGGGTGTCTCGTGTTCAGACCTTCTTCACGTGCAGTTTTTAATCCCCCTCTGTCCTTGCCTTTAGGGAATCCTGTGTGATGATCGTGTTCTGGCATCAGCTCTGTGGAGAAACCTTTTTAACAGGAACTGTGAGGACCCTCGGCACCTGGAGCTGCTCGTGGAGTACGTGCGCAAACAGGTGTGGCCCCGCTCTGCTCCGCTCGGGGAGCTCCCACTGCTTCCCTGTGCAGCTCATTCTCATCATAAACCTCATTCTAATAGCCAGTGATCGTTTTTAAGGAGCAGAAAGGATAAATCTGAAAACTGGGTGATATTTATTACAGAGTCATGGAATGTCCTGAGCTGGGAGGGACCCCCAGGGTCACCCAGGGCAGCCCCAGCCCTGCACAGACACCCCAACAGCCCCACCCCTGGCAGCCCCTGGCAGCTCCTGCAGCTCTGGCAGCCTCGGGGCCGTGCCCATTCCCTGGGGAGCCTGGGCAGTGCCAGCACCTCTGGGGAAGAGCCTTTCCCTGGTATCCAGCCTGAGCCTGCCCTGACACAGCTCCAGCCATGCCCTGGGTCCTGTCCCTGGTCACCAGAGAGAACAGATCATTGCTGCAGTTTGATGACAAATGGCTGCAGAGAAATTAGTGGAATATTGAAAGCAGTCCTGCTCAGCTATTTCTGGACCTGTGCTACAGAGTGGCTTGACAAAATGTGCCAGAAATAGGCTGCAAACTTGTTGTAGAATTGTTACCAGTGTTAAAGAGTTAGGGTTCTCCACATGGTGAAATAACAGATAGAGCTTGAAAGTCTCTTGGTGACCTTTGAGGAAAGGAAACAAATAGGTTTGTTTTCCAGAATTATTTCTGATTCTTTCAGTTATTACCTGGAGGAGACAGCACTGAGTAGTGTTTGTCCTCTCAGCCCTGAGGAGTTTTGTGAACCAGATCGCTAGGAAATGTTGGTGGGATAAAATCCATGTGGGCACCAAAGAAAGAGGTTATGGAGTAAAAGTGGAGGGCGTTGGACAGGAAATTGAAGACCAGAACTTTCACAACATCATTCTCTGTAATGTTTCCAATACCATATTCAGGATCAGATAGAGGTATAGAGAGACAGTATGTAAGTGTGTGTCTGAGAAAATGGGAAATAAAGGGCTGAGCTTCCTAAGGAACTGAGGACACTTTGGGAATGCCAGAGCGTTCTCAGGAGGGACTGGCTTAATTAAATGCTGAAGGTTGCTGATGCTCAGTGGTGAAGCTGTAGGAAAGCTTGCTGGGGACAAGAACATATAAAACATATGTAATTTGGGATCATTTCTTGCCAGATGGGGAATTTGCTGCACTTCTGGATATTCAAGCAAAGGATAGGTCTGAAGCAATCAGCAGTTGAATAGGAAAGAGTGATCAGGCAGGAAAATGTGGCACATTGTGGAGGAATGAGCACAGGTTCTGTGCAGACAGATCATTCCTGCAGGCCAGTGGTGCACTTGAGGAAAACATTCCCAGCTTTGCATAGGCACCAGTGAGCTCTGAACTGTTACTACACAGGAATGAGGCCTTGAGTTCCATTATAAAAATGTCAGTTCAGCACTCCATAGCGTTTAAAAAATGTAAAACAAATCCTCAGAACTACTGGGAATGAAATAGAGGATAAAATCCTGCTGTGGTGCCAGTTTTACATGTCTAGTACCATTGTGAGCTGGAATAATGTGTCTGGTTTGGGTGCTGACCACCAGAACAGATCCAACGTTACCTGAAGAAGGCTCAGACAGGAGGACTAAGGGTGACAGTGAAACTGCTCCTTTTTTAGCAATGAGTAGAATCCCCTGCCCAAAAAAGAATGGGAGAAAAAATGGAGACATCTCTGGGAAATCCTGAAGGCATGTGAAAGGTGAGGAAGGAAAGGTATTGAGGGACACAGGAATGTGGGGACAGAGCATTGGCACAGTTGATTGGGATGCTGCAATTGCACATGGGGTTCCAAAGCCACTGGCAAGATTTATGGAAGAAAAGTTTGCCCAGGGCTATTAAATCCACAACCACTTCAGACTCAAAATCTGTGAATGAACAGATTCTGAGAGGGAGGGAAAATGGACAAGGAAAAGAGCATTGTGTGCTGTGTTTAACTCCTCCTGGGGAAGCTGCTGGTGGTGACTGTCAGGAACAGGACATTGTCCCTAGGTGGCTTCCCAGTGTGACCCTCTGTGACCATGGGTCATTCATTCCCCTGTTGAGAAACTCCTTGCCCAATTATCCTTTGTTTCTATAACACCGTGTACCAGGTTGTCCCCAGTTTCTTGTGGGTCCTGTCTTTAACAGTGGCTATTAGTGGGTGCCAGAGGAGAACATACTGACAGCACAGCATGTACTGTGCCCCTGATCAGCTCTCCCAGCCTTCCTGAGCTAATGGTGCTGGGATTATCTTTGACTCATCCTTTAATGACTTTTTTTTTTTTTTCTCATTTCCCATATTTAGGGTGACCAGTGGCAGCAAGTTGACCCTCTGCTATATGATGAGAGGGGTTTTTTTTTTTCATCTTGCTTATATTACACCCTAAAATTACAGTAGGTCCCAACTATCTTGCTCAGAGAAGTTGTGGATCCCCCATCCCTGGAAGTGTTCAAGGCCAAGCTGGACAGGGCTTGGAGCAACCTGGGATAGTGAAAGATGTTCCTGATGGGCTTTAAGGTCCCTTTCAACCCAAACCATTCAGGGAATTCTTCTGTTGGGAGGATGAGCATTCATTGCATGTTCACCTTTTCCAGCTCATGTGCTTTGATGTGATAAATCCCAGGTGTTCCCTCCTGCTCAGGCCATTTTTCTGTGGCTGAAGCCTCGGCTGTGTGCAGGGTGGGAGCTCTCCATGGGGCTCTGGCCTGGGCAGTGTTCCCTGCAGGAACCACCAGGAGGATGAAGTGACTCACTGCAGCTTTGCTGGCTCCTCTTTGCCCTGTTGCCAAACCTTCAGAGGAGGCATCAGTGACGCAGGTGGCTCCAGAGGATCTGCAGATCCTTATCCTGGCCTTGCCAGTCGGAAGTGACCGTTTTAGGTCCACCTCACCCAAATGGCAGAGTAGGCTGAAATGTCCCTGTTGTGCTGCTTTTTGGAGCGAGGTGTGTGTGTAGCTGCTGAGGGAGCTGCCTGGGCCACGGGCACGTGGCAGTGACTGGCTGTGCTTGCAGGTGCAGCACCTGGACGCGCTGAGCGGGGAGGATCTGCTGCTCACGGGCGAGGTGAGCTGGCGGCCGCTGGTGGAGAGCAACGCCCGCAGCATCCTCAAGCCCCTGTCCCCCGTGTACAACGATGAAGGACTCTGAGATCCACGTGCCAGGACAGCTTGGGAAGCGTGGCTGCAATGGGACTGGGCTGAGGCTGCGTGGTTGGGAAGAACAGTTTGCTGTTGGAAGGAAGATATTTCATTAGCTCTCCCAGCCGTGGTGCCTCGGTAGCCTCCCGAGCAGCCGTACTCCTGAATCTTCACCTGCAAATAAATGCTCATTGTTTTAAGAACCTCTGTCCTTTTTATGGACCCGAGTGGCCCTTGCTGACATGGACAGAGCTGCCTTCTGCCTTTAGGAAACCAGGTATTCACCATGATGTAGAGTTCTCTCAAAAAGACATTTCTGTCCCTTGCCTTGTTTAAAGAGCTGCTACTCAGAGACACAGTGGTGTCCTCTGCTCCCTGAATGGTTGTAATTGTAAATGTGAGCTTTGCATACCTAGATATTAAGTATATATTTTAAATGTCTGATGCCAAGATGGAATGGTCCATCTTTGCATTAGTGGAGTTAAGAATCGCTTTAACATTCTGAAGGGTTTTCTGTGAAAATCCCTTTTAGGAACTCACCGCTTTGTTGCACAAGGGTGAGAGAATGCAAAGAATAATGCACAGTCCCCAGCAATCCTCTGTGACTTTGGCTGTCTGAGGGAGATTAAAGCCCCAGTTCTGACTGGGCTGGCGCTAAAAGCTGCCCCAGAACCTGATGTTCAGTCTGCCTTGCTGAAACTTCCACATTCTTCGTAGAATTGTCTTCTAGGAACTCCTTTATGAAAAGAACATCCCTGTTGTGTCCCTGGGACAGGACCTCCATCCCCTGCAGCAGCAGTCCAGGGGTTTTAGCAAGATCCTTCAACACCAGTGAAAACTTTCTATGGCTGTGCAGGCAAATGGTGCCAACACAGCAATTAGGGGAGCAGGAGCTGCACTGATGAGATCAGCAGAGGCTGAGGTGCTCTGTGTGGGTGGATGGTTCACCAGGCTGTTTCCAGGTCAGTGGCAAAAAGAGTTTTTATTTCTCTCCTGTCCAAAATCTGAGTCAATAATAAATGTCAGTCTGGGTTAAATTGCTGTGTGTTTGTTTTCTGTGCCATGTGTGCTTTTGATAAGAATAAACCCAATAAAATCAGGACTTATTCCTAATAAAAGTATTAAGCAAAAGTAGAAGGTGATAATCCTTAATTTATGAATTTAATCCTTAATTTGTGACTCCTTAGTCTGGTGAAAGTGAAACTGTGCCTGGTTGTGACTATTCTTCCTTCCCAAGTTGCTTTCTTTGTGTGTGCGTGTTGGGGAATATTTGCCATCCCTTCCCTGTTTTAAAGGCAGTGGGATGCAGCACAGAGGCTCCCAAACACTGACTTGTGGGGTTGTTTTAAAATCTTCTGTTAGGGAGCCTTCTGTGTATAAAAAAGGTGTTTTTTTTTTTTCCAGAACGAGCTTCCTCAGTTTAACTTGTTATAAAATGAGGCATGTAAAGAGCCCCTCTCTCTGTGTGAGGTGTATCCCTTCTCTGTGAAAACATTACAGCCCAAACAACTTGCTTGCAGTTTATTTAAGATGCTTTTGTTGAAAGCTGAGCTAAGCAGAGAAACCTCTTATGTGTGAAGTATTATACAGTGTGTGTGAGATAATAACACCTTGTAATTCATTACAGCTGGCTTGTATTTACATAAAAGAAGGCTGAGCTGTGTAGGAATTTGCTGATTAATTTATTTTTAATGAGAGTGAAGTATACCAAGTACCAAAATAAACTTTACTTTGTGTATCTTACTGCTCCTGAAATAGGTGGAAAAATTAATGGTAGATATTTTGGCTCAAAACTACATACATTAATTCATATACAAAACAGTTATTTAAACTTTAACCCCTTTCCTGCTGTGGAATTTAAACCTGAGCTCATGTTCTCCATGCCATGGGAACAGGGGCTGGGAGCACAGCACCATCGAGGCTGGAGAGCTCTGGAGTCCTTGGGCTGGCCTGGAGGGGAGAACAGCTCCGTGCTCTGGATGTGGGACAGCGTGTGGTCAGGCTGAACCCTCCCCTGTGTTTATGGGCAGGAGACTCCACAAGTGATGGTGCCAGATTGGAGTCGTTGGCATCTGCCCCTGCACCTTTTATTAGGGTGAGGATGAAGGGCTGTAATCACAGCTCTGCCTGGCCATGAAATGCCCTCACCGCCCGCTGGAAGGGCTGAGCCAGCACAGGGCTGTGCTTGGGCGTGTGGGGCCTGCGGAGAAAACAAGGCAGATACTGTCTCTGAGCTAAAAGGGTAATTTGTTACAGAGGCAAAATCCACTGGAGGCTACACAGGACCAGGGGAGACTTTGCTTCCCAGTCATTAGTTACCCAGAGCCAGGATCCTACAGTATTAGATTGGAGATCAGAAGAAATCCTTCCCTGTGAGGGTGGTGAGGCCCTGGCACAGGTGCCCAGAGCAGCTGTGGCTGCCCCTGGATCCCTGGCAGTGCCCAGGGCTGGGTTGGATGGGGCTGGGAGCAGCCTGGGACAGTGGGAGGTGTCCCTGCCATGGCAGGGGTGAAGTGAGATGAACTTCAAAGTTCCCTCCAACCTGAACCATTCTGGGATTTTACTGTGACCCCTGTTGCTCTCAAGAGGTGAAGAAAGGTGAGCTGGAGAGCTGCCATTGCCTGTATCTTACTTAAGACAGAATGAAAGAAAATCCAATCCCAGTAGCAAAATCTGCCCTCTGCAGTGTTCCAGCAGGTGAGTGATTCCTATGCACAGCTCTGCTTCCAGGGCAGCAGAACAGAGGGGGTTAAACCAAACATTGTAAAGCCCATCTTTTATGGACAGTTCTTTGTTTATGCTGTTGGGTTTTTGGAAAGTGGTCTCAGACCATGAGCTTAGAGGCACTTACTGTATCTAAATGAACATATCCATGTGAATTTCTTCTGGAAGGAACCATCACCATCCAGCCTGATCTCCTGTCTCACAGACAGCATTTGGACATCACTTAGGATTCCAAAGGACTTCAACTTTTCCAGATGTCTTAAAATGAAGAGACATGAGCCCCTAGGAATCATTCATGATTTCAGCTGGATCCTGGGTTGCTCCCTGTGGGTAGGAGGATCAGCACTCACTGTCTTCTCTTCTGTTTTGCACCATGGGAGAGTAGAAGCATGTTTTGCCTCTCAGGGTCTAACTTGGGAAGTCTCTTGCTGTAGGCTGGTATTTTTGAGATGTTTTGGAGTAGGGGGAGTCATCTGATACTCTTCAATGCCCCCTCTCTGTTTTAGGTGGTTAAATGTTTTCCTGTGTCACCTGCTCACACCACCTTTGGGTGTTGAACTGTTTTCTCCTGCATCTTCAAGGTGCTGCAGTGCAGAGAGCACAGCCATCCTCCATGATCTCCACCCTCCTGTGCTGTTGCCACTTCCCAGATTTGTGACTCCCATCCCCACCTTGCACAGGGTGATGTTTTCAGTCGTGTCTGCCCCACCAAGTCCTAGGTCAGAACTGCTGCTCCTGGCCTGGCAGTCAGAATTAACCACTGTCCTGTCTCCCTGCCCATGCCTCAGCAGACGTGGGAAGCAGAAACTGGACACAGAACAAGAACCAGAGCTGTAAATGAGATGAATGTAGAGTAGGTGAAGAGTAGCAAAGCTGGGGGGTGTGAGCATCAGCTGGGAGGGGACTGGTTGTGCAAGCTTGGTCCCTGTGACCTGTGCCAGGCACCACTCTGAGGAGCAGAGGGAGCCATGCCCTACCCTGTGACCCACTTGTGTTTTCCACATTCTCCTACTTGTTGGAGAATGGTTTAATCCTGGTGGTTGCCTGCATCCCAGTGATGTGCTGAAGTCCTGCTTGAGCATTTCGAGAGGTTTGCTGATCCCCTCTCCAGGGGTGCTGAATGAGGCATTGAGCTCCAAGCTGCACTGGGTGCTTCCTTCCTTCCAGGCAGAGAAAAGTCCCACTGTAGGGAATTGTAAGTGTTTAAGTTAATCCATACCTAGAACTGCTGTGCCTTCCTAATTCTGCTAAGCGAGCTGTGCCACAAATGCAGTGGTTATTTCAGGCCCCAGTGTGGGGTTTGGTCCTGGCCACAGCCTTGTGCACGAGCATTTTTCTTGGCTGATGCTGGTGGCAGCTAATTTAGAATCATAGAATCATGGAACACCCTGACCTGGAAGGGACCCATCAGGGTCACTGAGTCCAGCTCCTGGCTGTGCACAGGACCCCAGGAATCCCACCCTGTGCCTGAGAGCATTGTCCAGGGCTCCAGGTGGAAACTTCTCTGTATGGGTTCCTTCCCTCCCCATCTGCCTCTTCACATCTGCCCTGCTTTGTCTGATCTCTGTTGTCTCCCTGGTTAATGAACTCCAATCAAGGCTTCTTTGCTCTTTTTTCTGCAAAAAGCTGTGATGAACCCATGTCCTGTCCTTCCCACTGACCTGCACTGTGCCCAGCTCTTCCAGGCTGGGGGCACACCTGTCCCAGCTCTCTGGGTGACGATGTCCCTGTGCCACTGGAACAGGATCAGCATCTTTGGGCACTTTGTGTCTGCACAGCCTGGCCCTCAGCATGCTCTCCTGAAGGTCTGGGAAGGCAAGGAGAGGGCAGCAGCTTATGTGAGAGCCTGGGAAAGCTGGCAAGGACATAGGAGAGACCCTGAGGCTCAGCAGGGGTGACCAGTGGGCTCTGCTGCTTACACAGTGCCCACCCCTCCTCTGCCTGCAGAGGGACTGTCACCTGTGGGTGCCTTGGGCTGCCTGGCCTCCTGCACCCTGAGGGGGCAGTTGGGTGTTAACAATCCTGTGATCCTTCCCGACTCCTCTGGTGAGGGTTTTTTTGACCACTGCCCCTTCTTCAGGCGCTCAGGGCTGCCCTGTGCATCCCACATGTGTCTTCCTGAAGTTGCTGAACATGTTGAGGGAGTGCTTGTTTTGCTTACAGTCATTCAACCTGCTGGGCAGCTTGCTCTGCTCATTTGTGGGACAGAAGAGATGGCTGGGCCTCATCCTTCCCCTGGGAATGCAGAGCTCACATGGGAGTGATTCCACCTTCTGCTGTTACATCTCAGTGGCTGCTCCAGATGTGATTTGCTGGGAGCAGCCAGGGAGTTCAGGTCAAGTGGCAATAGAACTGTCAGAGGGACCTGGGGCAGGTTAGTGGAAACACTCCCAAACACTGCCTTGAATTTTTTTTAATCTTTTAGGGAGCCCTCTGCATATAAAAAAAGGCATTTTGGTTTTTTTTTTTTCCTCAGTTTAACTTGTCATGTAAAGAGCAACATCTGTAACCAGCAGCATCCTCTGTCCTGCTGTTGCTGTCTGGTGCAGGTGTGTTCACCTGGGAGGGCCCTGCTCAAGCTGCTGAGCCTGGATCCTGCTGGGAGCTACTGCAGCTCCTCCAGAGGTGAGAGCTCCCTCGTGCTCATTGAAAAACTGAGGAATTCTGCACACTCAGAGCCTTCATTAATGACTGCATCACATGAGCTGGGATCCTTCATGCCTCATCCCACCTGCCAGCTCCTGGGCTGCTCCACATCCTGTCAAAACCAGGCATCTTAGGCAGATTTACTCAATGTGCCACATCCTTCCCTGTGCACCCTCTTCCTGCTGGTAGCCAGAGCCAGTGGTGTTACAACACCCAGTTCTGTCTCTGTGGATTCCCTTTGGAAGGAGACACAGAAGGGGTGTCTGGAAGTGCTTTTCCCATGTTCAGGACGGGGCAGCAGCTGAAGGAAGCAGCTCTGTGTCCCTCTCCTGGCAGCTGTGCATCAGCCCCCCGGGCAGCTCAGGGCTGCACCACAGCAGCTCCATGGACTCACCTTGGCTTCCCTGCATGGCACAGGGGTGTGGAGACCTTGGGGCTGCAGAGGGACAGAACCTCTGTGCTGGGCACACCCCTGGGCAGGGGCAGCAGGGCTGGGGGGTCCCTGCCTCCCCTGACACCCTTTGTGTTGGATCATTTGGCCTCTGGCTGGCAACTGGTGTCCAGTGCCCCCCTTCAGCTGTGCAGGTGTGAGGCTGCCTCTCCCCTGACTTGAGAGGGTCTTAACAAATGAATGGTAAAGATGAAACATGGAATTAATGTGCTGCCACTGTGCTTGGATTGTGTAACACCATGGTTGGGAATGTTGGACAAAAAATGGGGAGATTTGACTTTGCTCTGTGGGTTCAGTGCTGACAGAGCTCAGTGCAGGAACTAAAACTGGGACTTCTCTCATCCAGCTGTGCTGGCTGAGTGCATCTGGCCAGTGAATTCTGCAGTGGAGCACTGCTGTGCAGTGCCTTCCAGAAATGCTGGTACAGCACCGAGGAGCACCCTGATGTTTTGAGATGGAAGATTGGGTTTCAGTCTGAAATAGAGGGGGGGAAAAAGCAAATCTGGCTTCTTGTGTTGCCGGGTGAGTGCTCTCCAAGATCTATCAGGAAACAGACTGGCAGGCTGCCTCCATGTGTGCGTGAAGAGGAAGCAGCAGGTACATTCTGTGGAGAGCCCAGGCAAGGTGTTTGTGTTTGCTGAGCTCCAAGAACATCTGTGGGATGGAAGAATGAAGTATTGCCTAATGCTTGGCTGAGCTCAGTTATCAGCCAGAGCAGAGCTGCCCAGGGACATGGACTTGGCAGTGGCACTTGGGGGTAGCGTTCAGCCAGAGGGAATTTTCCCCTTGTCCTTCTCTGTTGATTGCAGAAGGTGTGTAGACAAGACTTCCAGATAAGATCCCAGGTTTTAGCTGGCAAAAATGGGCTGATGAGATTCCCACATCCTGTGTTGGCCAATCAGCCTCTGGAGTGCCAATTAGA